TTTCGTTAATCACTTTAAACAATGGGAAAAAGGTGGATTATTAGGGGATAAAAAGATGCTTTAATTCACCAAAAAATAAAAAAGAAAGGTATTGAAACATCAAAAATTGTCTTGGAATTATGATTGAATCCCACATGCTCTGTTTCTTCTCTTTATTCTTCCTCCTCAATTTTTGTTTAATCGAATGTTTTTCTCTACAGTAATTAATTATGATTTATTAAAATAAAATATATTAACGGTTCTTCTGGTTCATCACCAAAAATCAAATGTTTTTATATTAGTGCATTTTGAAATTTTGAAATTTCAATTTGGAGAAACAAAAAAATCTAAATAGTTAACAATTAATTATGCTATTTTGTTTTGTTTTGGGGTTAGGCGTGAAGGAAGTGCCTGTAACACACGCGCTAAAGTAGGCGAGTGGTCTTTTTTTCCTCATATATAACGACACGTAGAAAGAAATCACCAAATCCACGTGGCAGTTATTTGTTAGCTTGTTTTATTGACTTTGATGACCGTCGGTCGTAATACCAACCATCGTCGAATTCTTTGTGCGACGTGGGTCCCTTCAAAGACGCTCTACGTGGGGTTTACCTGCTAGGCTCATATTCCGAACCTGATTAGGTTCGGCACCGAAGCACTAATTTGAATTTTTTGAACGTTGAAGCTAACCAAACTATGGGTCGTCTCTTATCTTATACATATATTTTCCCTTTTTAGCAATTATTTTCTTTTTTCGACCAAAAAAAAAGAAGCAATTATTTTATTTAAAATTGAGAGATTATTATAAAAATCTTTCTAATTCGATGTCTTAATCAAAATATATCGCCATCAATGTTTGGTGGTGTGATGATCTCATTAACACCGTAGGATGTTGACACGTCGCCCATATTCAATGTTTTTATGATCAACATGGAATTCAAAATCGTGATAATAATTAATTTCCATGACTAAGTGCGTCCGTTATGAAAAAAATGCTGTATTGATTACATGATTTGTTATTTTCGGTCCCTTAAATATTTATATTTGTCTTTTCTAGAAACCAAAAATTTATGTTGTCTAAAAGTGGATTCGATTTGTATAAATATATACATAAAAGTGTTGGTAGTTTTTTTAAAAATCATCCTCCCTCTGTATCAAATTAGATGATTTTCTAGAGGTTTGTTTTTGTATAAAATTATATGATTTTTTGAGTTTTCAAAACAAAATTAAATACATTTTTATTTATTTTGACTATTTGTATTTTGCAATTTGATTTACTATTGGTTGAATTGTATTTAATTGAATGATAAATGATGTTTTAATTTAGAAAAACTTAAAATTAAAGTTTTTTTAATTTATGTGTAACATCCTTAAAAAATCATTTAAAATGATACTGAGAAAGTATTTTTTTTCGCAATCTACTTATATTAATTTTAAATGGCGGTTACAACACGACGGAAATATTTTTGAAAAATCATATTATTCTAAAAGAAACATTGAAAAACGAGTTGATTTATAAATATTCATTGAATGATTTGTCTTAATCGTCTTTTTAACATTTCTATCTCTAGTAAAAATCATGTATAAAGATGATTATGAGTTTGATTGGTAACGGTTGTAGCTTTAAGATTCTGATTGTGGGATTTAGGTTGTATGATTTTTTGCTGTAGCTGTAGAGTTTTTGCTGTGAAATTTTTTATAGTAAAAACATGATTGGTAAATAAGTGTTGCAGATTAATACTACTATCAAATATATTACCAAAAATAATATTAATAAAAATATAACATTATCTATATGTCTATAAAAATAAAATTAAATTATGTGCACAAACAATTTTATTGGTAAAACATTAGTTACAATTTATTGGTAAAACAATAGTTGTATTGTATACATGTGTGAAAATGTTAGATATGTTATTCATACCCTGTTAAACATTTTTACGTACATTACATATATATAAAATGAAAAGTATATACATATACAACAGAAGCAAAAAATTTTTTATTATTTTATATGCTCGTATATATTGAAACGGAAAAACAATATATAATGATTGCATAATATATGTAACGATAAATATTGGTAATCCAATACACAGTAGTATATCACAATAAATATATTTATTTATTTTGGTAACCATCACAATAAATATTAGTTACCATAAAACGAGAGGAAACAAGTTAGAGGAGAGAGAAGCGACGAAGAAAAATACTGTACAGCCAAAAATATGGTAATATGGCTCTCTACAGC